CAAGTCTTTAACTATATTAATAGCTTGGTCTCTAGTAATTTTAAGATGGAGTTTAAGTGACCCTGCATTAAGGTGGAAGGTTGTATGAGCTTTGCAGGCTGCTTCATAACCAGACTCATCATCATAATGGCACTATCTGTTATAGTATTAAAATCCGCAATGGCATTTCCTTCACTCAAATGGCCAGGCAAATCAGACTGTGCTCATAGATGCCCTACAAAAATTGGATGAGCGCCTCCATAGTAGGCTTTGTATGGCTAGTAAGTGTTCCTGTACACAAGAGATCAGAACTATATAGGCAGCAGTTTCTAAGGGGGTCAAACCAGATCGAACCTAATTCATATGTCCCAATAATTTTTGAAAATCATTAAGGGTGGTCAGTCTATCCAGCCTTAAAGTACTCTTTTGAGGGAGGATACCAGACTATAAAATTGATGACCCAGGTATTGATAGGGAAGTTCTTGTTGTACCTTTTCTGGGGCTGTTCTTAAGTCACCTAGTTGAAGATTATGTTGCATTTCCCCAAAACCTTGATTTACTTCCTTAGGATGGATCTGGGCTGGTTAAAAGAATATCATCCATTTAATGTATAATATACAAGGATTGAGATGTCTCCCTAATGGGGACAATGGCCAAAGGTACATAAATTTGACAAATAGTGGGACTATTGGCAATTCCTTGAGGCAACACCACCCATTGATTGATATCTCTTATAGGGCTCTTTAAAATTAATAGAAGGAATGCTAGCAAATCGCTCGCTATCCTGAAGATGCAAGGGAATGGTAAAAAACAAAAAGCAGTCGTTTAGGTCTATAACTAATAAATTACAGCCTTGAGGAATACCTACAGAGGAAGGTGAGCCAGGTTGTGTGGCTCCCATCATTTACAAACAATCATTAACAGCTCGGAGATCTTGTAGGAGTCTCCATTTTCCAGATTTTTTTCTTTATAACAAAGATTGGGGTATTCCATGGGGAAGTGGAAGGAACAATATGTCCTGCCTCTAATTGTTCCTTTACAAGTTGATGTGCAGCCTGTAATTTCTCAATAGGTAAGGGCCATTGCTCCATGCATACTGGGTTATCAGTTTTCCAGATAATAGGAATGGGAACAGGCTGTCCAGCAATAGCCCCTAAGGAAAATTGCCCAACCCAGAGCAATCTCTGGCTCTTTTGATAAATTTTTGGATGCAACAGACTGAGGGTCACCTTGTAGGAATTTACCCAGTCCTCTTCCTTGTACATAACCTTGGTCAGCCAGCATATTTTTACAGGTTCAGTAGTAGGGACTGCTCCCATGGCCTGAAGCACATTTCTTCCCCAAAGATGTGACTTAACACAAAAGGTAGAAAAAGGACTGTATGTCCTTCATCAGCTGACCATTTATGAAGCGGAATGCTACATTCTGGAGACACAGCAGTACCCACTCTTCTGCTAACGGCTATAGAATCATCCATACAGATTCCTTTGGCTCTCAGGCCATGCAGGCTTTGGCCATTTCCCGCAGACCCGCTCGGGAGGCCAGCTGTGGGAGGTGCAGGTTGCCAACCCTTCTCATTAAGACCCTGACTAGTGTCTATTTTTTTACTATATCCCAAGCAATTCAAATAGTACCTTTTGTTAGGATTCACACTTCACATACACTTTTGTGTAGCCACACCATACATACAAGATGGCATTTGTGCTTCAGAAATCCTTTGTTTTAATTGTTCAGATTCTGCTTTCAAAGTATCTTCTCCATCAGTTACAGTAGAACTGTCATCTCCTAGTTGAGGTCCCTCTTGTCCTGATAGCTTTCATGGATTCTAAACCTTGTGCCTCCTCAAAAGTCCTAATCACCTCTGCCATCTTTTCTTTTTACTTTATGGCAATGAATTCTTTAGCTGTCTTGTTTTAATCCTGGTGCCCTGTCTTGTCACTAATTGCCCCTGAGCATTCCCCCAAGAGTCACTGGCACCCATCCTTCAATCCGCCCTCATTCACTTACTTTGCTGCCTGCCTCTGAGGGCAATCTCTTAGGTGATTCTTTCTTTCCCGATCTGGATGGGACCTCCACTTGTAGCGCCCCCGCTAAGCTCTGTTCCACGAATTGGGCAAAGGCCTAGAGATTGAAATAAAGAGACAAGACAGCGGGCCATTCCTTCAGTGGCAATGTCCGAATGCCGAACACTGTATGCTGTTTATTGAGGGGATGGACAGGGCTTAGCTCCTCCCCATGAGGTGTGCGTTATCAAAACAGGAGGAGTACCAGTAACAACTCTGGGGCAAGGAGTTCTGGCCAACAGCTTCTTAAGGCTTGCTCAAGGTGCCTCGGGGGTCCGCGCAGAGCCCTACATTGCAGGACTTGCCTATGTGGCCATGGTGACGCTACTTGGGACAGGGGAAGGCTTAGGGTCATGGGTAGTATAAACCTAGTGCTGCCTAGAGAAGAGGCCAGGTGCAGCAGAGGGGTGGAGTTGGAGGTGAGAGCCTAGACTCCCCGCCTAGAGATGGGGGACAAGGGATCTCAGCATTTCTTAAACATTGGAAAATTGCCTATCCACATATACCCATTTCTGATCGCCCAAAGGGGGTAAAGAGAGAATGGAAGTCAGGGTAGGAAGTGAGAGGCCCCGGCTGGGTGTTGCTTACCATTGTCTCCCAGTGCCTAGCACGGGCCCAGGAGTCACAAGCGGGAATTATGAAAGCAGTGAGTGGACAAAGGGACTAATGCAGACACAGAGTGGAGAATGAGTCCCGTGGCCCAGGCAGCTCCCACAGAGAGAGAGCGGCCATTGTTTCCTCAAAGGCCGGCAGCTGGGTGCCTGCAGGAGCCTTTCTGGAGAGATGGTGTCACAAACACAGCAGTCTGCTGAGGACATCTTCACCTTCCCTCCCTTATTGCTGTGTCTCCTGGGCTCATGGGACCTGTGTCACTGACGCACCCCAACACTTCTGCCCCTGGGGAACTCCCTTTCTTTCAAGTCACATGTGCCCAGTATCCTCTTTTATGCCCACCCTGCCTCAATGTCTCTTCTGACCCTCTTGTGGTTCCTGCTCTACTCTTTACCTGACTAGATTCATCATATAACATACTCATCTTTGAATGTATTATCTCTGTAATAGTCTCAGTGCACCCCTTTCCCTGAAATGGCATACATTGTTCTCAGACACAAAGAACAATGGCGCCATCCGCCTTTATTTTGATGCCCTGAGCTCCCTCTCTGTTCCGTCTCCTCTGGCAGCCACCTGTTTCCTACCCCTGATAGAGAGCTAGTGCATGCTGGGACTCAGACATGAAGAAACAATCACCTTTAGCCTCCAAGCAAAGGGCAGTTTTCCAGCCAAGCTCTCCTGCAACGGTTGGTGTGGATATCACTCTTGTACATTCACCTCAGCTGTTGGCTGGCTCTGACTACCCAAAGGCAACTGAGGGACCCCAATGATTAGCTGGGACTCTGGGATTCACCCTAAGAATCACTGCTGCAGAAAGAGGAAGATTTGGATGTTACTCTCTCCACCGTGGCAGTAAAAAGGTCATTCACATAGCAGTGCAATATCCATCACCCCCAGCTTCAGTGCAAAACTACCTATCAGGGCAAAGCTGAAGATCTGAGTTTGATCCCCTGACCCACACACACACATACACACACACACAGCTTTGATCCCTGAATACCTGACTGTAGATGTGTACAGAGTACTGAATGAACCAGTCCCACTGAAATTCAGAGAAATTGATTACCCTCTCGATTGCTTTTCCTGCCACGGACCAGTAAGGTCAAGATGGGAAAGGCAGTACAAACATCTCCTCACTGCACTTTGGGGAAAGAGAGGGCTCTGATGGCCCTGGGGTTGGGAGCCCCAGTCAGTTTTCTCTGGACTTAGCTGTGAGGGGAGGAGTTGAAAGCAAGAAGGTATTGTATTCAGAAGCAGGCCCGTAGGTGGGGATACACCCCCATGTTCTGTGGTACAAAGACTTCCAGTTCCCAGATCTGACATGGGTAATTAATCTTCTGGAGGTGAGGGACACATTACATGCTAAGTTACACACACTGATTACAGTGAGATGTCCACCCTGCCCACACCTGTTGCACTGACCATGCCCATTGGGGCATGGGGACAGATGCTGGCATGACCTGTGGGGACTAGGTCTGGGGTCCCAGACCCCAGCTCGCTCTTATTTCCTGATTGGAGACAGAGCATCCAGAGGTCATCTGTTTCTGGTGTAAGTGATTTCTCCCTGAATAAACATTATCAGCCTGTCATTCATTCCCAGATTCTTATTTACCATGCTTTACACTGACTCTATGGTGTTCACCACTTAGAGTTTTTTGAGACTCTGGAGGGAAAACACACACACACACACACACACACACACACACACACACACACACACGTGCTGCCCAGAAAATAGCAGAAGTGGCACCAGCTATTGCCATCTGGAGCAGTCACAACAGTGTAACAATGCTTCCAAAGGGAACAGACAGTATGACCCCAGGCCACATCCTTCCCCTCCCACATGGAGCTAGAGGCCACCTAACGGGTACAGAACCTTACTTAGCAGAGAACCTGGGCAGGAACCAGGCATGGGCGGCTGGAACTGAAACCTCCTCCCAACCTCCTACTCAGGGACAGTTCATGCCTGCACTCAGACCCCACCCGCCATCAGGATCTCTGAACACCTACAGGCTGCTTCATCCAGGACCTCCTGGGAACCTGGAAGAAGGCATTGCCGAGGTCCTCCCCAGTCTGTGAGGACCAATCCTACCTCTTCCTACCCCTGGCCACACAAGGGTCTTTGGTGTATATGCTGAGAGATATTGAGGTTTTGTTTGAGACAGTCCTGCTTTGTAGCCCAGGCTGGCCTGAAATTAGCCCATACCAGCCAGTTCCTGCCTCTGCTTCCAGAGTGGTAGGACCCTGGTTTAAATTCCAATAACAATAAATAACCAGAAACATTCTTTGCTGCCTCTGGCTCCTGCCCACACTCACTGCCTGGCCCCTGTATTTCTTTTCCTTTAGGAGAAGAATTTGGACTGGTTTCCTCGGATGCGAGCCATGTCACTTGTCAGCAACGAAGGCGACAGTGAACAAAATGAGATCCGGAACCTGCAGGAGAAACTGGAATCCACCATGGGCCTAGTGAGGCAGCTCTCTGGGCAGTTGGCGGAGCTGAAGGAACAGGTCAGTGCGTGGGGGCTGGAGCCATCTGCCACTGTGAGCGAGGGGACCCAGAGGCTCCAGGGAAAAGGGAACTCCCCAACTGTGCTGTGTCTGGGCTTCTCGACAAGCAGGGACCCCCATCCCCACCTCTCCTGTGCAAAGACAGGGACGGACCCATTCGCTCTTGGTGAAGGATCTCATTTCCCGCCTGGCTTTGGATTTCCAAGTTCCTTGGAAAGGCGGGCATTTGCTAATAGCTGCGGCTCTAAGGTCCTGATCAGCCCATTTATCTATCATATGTCAGACATCCCTAGCAGCCATAAAACATACTATCACCAGGCCCCTTGGTAGCTATTAAATGGTTCCAGCAACAGTGATCTGTTCCCCACAAAAGCATGGTCTTTCTTCTCACTTCTGTTTCTGGTAATTTACTTTTTAAAAGCAAAAGCTCTTGTGGTGAACATATTCTGCGTGGAAGCCCACACTGGGTTCCTGGGGTGGGGGAGGAGGGGTGAAGGAAGCGCAGCTGAACACAGCCCTCTCTCCCCAGATGACTGAACAAAGGAAGAGCAAGCAGAGGCTGGGCTTCCTGGGATCAAACACACCCCATGCGAACCATCACATGCCACCACACTGACACCACGGGGGCACGCCGCCGACCAGCCTGTCATCACATGCCTGCCCCATCGCCGAAGGACGGACGGAGATGGAGGGAGCAAACAGTGGCTATTGTTGAAAAGCTAAAAACAGCCAAGTGCCGAGATGCTGAGCCATTTAGCTCCCAGAACAATCCCTAACTGTGTTTTCATGCTTGAGAAGACTCAGGCTCAAAAACAGCACAGGGCACACAGACTCTCTGAGCAGCAGGAAACAACCAGGCTGAGAGAGGGTGGAGAGCAGCAGACCTCCCCCCTGCTCAATCGCTATGCCCCGGCCTTGTCTCACATTCTCACGGCAGCCTGAGGTCTGGTTGGGTTTTGTTTCTTCAAATTATGGCACACAGGTCAGAGTCAAGAAGCCACACGCTGGTGGCCGAGTCTGACTAAGAAAGAAAAAAGAACTCATTAAGCTTCCGAACATTACGTGTAACTGGACAGCTTCTACATGACATGAAACATGACGGGCTCGGAGCTCTACACACTTGGTGCGTTGGAGTTCACACCCCACACATTGAAAACGTAACTTTCTCCCAGACTCTGTGCACAGCTGCACCAAAGGGAGTTTTCATAGAACTGGCTTAAAGTCACGGGAATGCTCAGATCATGAAAGAGGAAACAGCTTTGAGAGTTGATGCTATTAAATTAAATACTGCTATTAATAAAGGAAACACTCAAAAGGTGGCAGAAAACACTGAGAAACTTCCTCTGGTGGTTTTGCCTTTTGTAAGCATGGAGTGAAAAAGCAAGTTGATTTGTATCTGTGGTGCTTGAGGACCTGAGTGTTTGCTATCCCCGTAGCCATGGGAGGGAAATCTAAGAAATATATTGAATATACAAGAATGTGCAGACTTTCAATGGCAATAGTTCCTTCCCCCAAACAGTTTCCATGTTGAATCTTTTGACCAGAATTTCTCGAGGGAGAGAATAACCTGGGTGGATAGATTATTTTTGGAGACTGTTTGAGGCATAAGCGTGAAAACGGCTGTGTGGCGAAGGGCCAGCAGCCATGACACTACATTCTGAGCCGGGCCCTTCAGATGGACCCTCAGGGTCTCCAGACTCTTCAAACTCTCAGCCACCGAGGGTCACACGGGGTCTGTTACAACAACGTTTAACGCTTTAGGGTGTTTCAAGACAGCTCCAGCTGTTGGCTCCTAATAAGTAAAGTCCTGGGTCTATATAGACTCTGCAGATGGGAAGCCTAGTAGGTCGAGCCTTGGGGTCTAGTGAGGTGCACTAAATTTACCCAAGCGGCACACGCTAAGACCGTACTAAATTATGACATGTCCTTAGACAGGACCATGCATGCCCCACTTAGCCTGACCCTTGCCAGGGATCTGCTGCAGTTACCTTAATTCTTTGCTAAAACTTTATAATGACAAACTCTCTTCTAATGACGTCGACAAACTTAGACTAAGGCAGCCATCTTTAAAAACCCAAGGCCATCAATGCTGTGACAGCCTTCGATAAAAAAAAAAAAAAAAGACTGGTCAATCTTTTTGAAAGGGGTGGGGACTGCTGTGGGGTACGTCTGACCCAACGCCCAAGCCGTGGCGGCAGCTCGCGTATTCCTCCTGTGGGAATAGCCAAGAGAGGTTTTCCCCTGATGAGACTCTCGCTATGTGACTTCTTTTCAGCTGCATTTTTCTTTCCCCTTCTCGATTAAAGATTATAAAACAAAATTTATATTTAAAAAAAAGCAAATGAGACAAAGGGCACTTTTCTAGGACATAGAATTCATAAAGATATTAAAAAAGGAAATTTGATGTCTGGTGAGAGTTTACATTTGTCATGTGTGTTTCTTAACGTAACTGGATTGTTTGAAGTTGAGCATACTCGGTATTCTCTTATGTATATAGCAATATTAAAAATGCAGTCACCTCTGGCTTCTGTGCTAGGTTTTTTTTCAATATTTAGGTTATTAAAATCCATATTGATTAAAAGTCGCAGCTCCCTCTGAATAATACGTTTAATTTACAGAAGGGTTTGCTCCCCTGTGTGTACCATTCTGAGGCTAAAGAGTTCAATGAAAGATACCTTCTAAATTAAAATAATCATTTGGGAGTAGAGATCTTGCACTGTCTAGAGATAATATTGACCAGCGGTGTGCGTGCAAAGACAGTATTTTCTACCCTCTAGAAAGTTAAGTTAGAAAAGGGCTTATTTTCCTCAACCTGCCATTTTCTTTCCCCTGTGACTGCCATTTAATTACAGACTAATGTGGTGTGACTCCATCCCTGGGACTGAGTGTGAATAGGGAGGCCTGGGAGTTGGTGATGAAGACTAAAGATGGGATTTCACTCCCAGCATGCCATCTAGCGGGAACGCAGCAAGAAGAGCTTACCTTCAGGGAGCTTGGGTAGGAAAACAATGCGTAGGATTGATGACTTCACAACTGAGAGACCTTAAGCAAGCAGACAGCCACACTGTGTGGAGGAGTAAGCAGAAGACAGCATACCACTGGCAGCTGTTTTACAGCTTTATCACAATATTCTGTCCTGGAGATCCCTTCCAAACAAGCAAGATGCAGTACAGTTAGCACCAGAGGGGGTGGGCGTCTTAAGCCCACACACAGATGGCTGTGGGAGCCGGGCAAAGAGCTGGCAGAGCTGTGCACATCTGAGGCTCTTCCCCTGAGCAAGGGCGGGTAGCAATGTGCGCCATGCTAAGCTGTCTATTTGACAGCCAATTCCATATTTCAGAAAATGCTGGAGGCTACCCAAGGCCCTTTACTTACTCATCTGCTACCATCTCTGCAGTAAGGGTTTCTATGACTCCCTAAAATCAAACAGACTGAGTGTGTGCGTGCGTGTGTGACAGAGCTCTACAGACAGCTCTCGGTCACCTCTGTGGAGATTTTCCACAGATCTGAGCCGTTTGTGAAATGACTGCCAATACTCACTTTGCCAAATTATTCTCTTTCCTCTAGCCAGAGAGAATGTCTGTCTTATCTTTTAAAGGGGTGATTTTAACATACTGTTGGGGGCAGGATAACTTATTAGTTAATATTAATAAAATGAATTTGCATCTGATGTGTGCCTTATTCATTTCTTGTCATGTTGCTGACACGTTACTGTATCTACACTTTAGGCTCCCAGAAGCACCCTGTGGACTCAGACCCTTTGGTCATCTTGGAATCTCTGGCCTTCTTAGATCAGTGGTTCTCAAACTGTGGGCTGTGACCCCTTTGGGAGTCAATTGACCTTTCCACAGGGGTCTTCTGAGACCATCCCTCAAATCAGATATTTGCATCATGATTTATAACAGCAGCAAAATTACAGTTATGGAATAGCAAGGGAAATGATTTTATAGTTTGGGGGACACCACACCATGAGGAACTGCATTAAAGGGCTGGCCGCAGCCTTAGGAAGGCTGAGAGCCACTGCCCCAGAACAAAACTCAGCCTCCTGCCGACTGAAGTCCACTCGGGTGGTGTGAATCACGTGGAATCTATGAATAGGTTTCTCTGCTGTGTTGTCCAGTTCCTGGAAGCAGTGTGGCAAGCCCTGCTTCCATTTGCTCCAGTCAGAGAAAAGGGGGCTGGGGGAGGGGTGGGGGGTGGGAGATGGGAAGGGAGAGTTCCTCGTCCAGTGAGTGGTACCCACAGTAGGGCTGCATGGAGAGGGACATCCGGCCAAGCTCCAGGCCACAGCCTTTGCCTGCTCAACAGCGTGTTTTGAGGAAGTCTCAGAGGGGCTTGTGTTCAGAAAATAACCCTCAGGCAGAAGCTACATGACAGCCTCTCCTGCTGCCCTCCCCTCCACTGGAGAGGCCACAGCGTGGCAAGATTCTGTGGCAGACAACCATGACCAGAGCAGGCTTTACTGAAACCCTCTGGTGGGCTTTGTTGTTTTGTTTTGCTTTTGGTGGGGGGGGGGCCTGAAACTCACTCAGATCCAGCAGCATCTGCTTCCGGAGGGCTAGAATTAAGGGTGTGCCCCACTGCACCTAACAGGATCTGTCTCCGTGGTCCTCAGGCGAATCCAGCTTAGAAGCCTCACGAGTGAGGATTGCTCTGGTCCAGCACCTTCATCCAGGATTGCTCACTGAACTTATTCACAACAGAGACAGCTACTGAAGCTGATTTCTGCTCTAACACCTGCCGCTGGATTTGTATTATTATTATTATTATATTATTATTATTATTATAATCTTCATTTTGGACAATTGTAGCTCCTTTTTATATGCGAACTTTTTTTTCACTACTTTCAATGTAAGTCAAAGGTTTATGATCTCATCTTCTCTGCTTTATATGCCATAACATTGGTTGAGTGTCAGACTGTAAAATAAGGCCTGGAGATTTTATATATATATATATATATGTATATCAATTATTATTTCACCAGAGAATCAAAATAACTATGGATCTCATGGCCTGAGAGATTTACTGTAGGGGTTGGACATCATAGCTAGTATGAGGAGGAGGGTGACAGCCTTTGGAGCAGGCTGCCATGTCTGCCTCTGACATGGGGTCTGAAGCTGCTGTCAGTCAGTGAGGCTGGCAGATGGCCACAAAGCCTGGGTCTGGAGCAGAGGAGATTCAGGGCAAGCTACATACCAGGGCAAGCTACATACCAGGACGGCAAACTGGGGGGAGTGTAGTTGATAAGAAAATGAAGCTAACACCCTCTCTGTAGAATTGCACATTTTTTCCAGCCCAGGACTAGAGAGAGTTAAAGGAGGTCGTCCACTAAGGGCTGGAGAGCCGAGGGCCAGCATGTGAGCTAAGAGAACAGGGTAAGCCATTCACTGTATCAGCTGCCACCTCCTAAGTGGCCTTCATGCCATCCATTACCCAAACCTCATGAAAATATCTTCTGTAAACATAACATACGCAACCATACAAACAAGAAGATTCTGTCAAGTGTTAGCTAAATTCACATAAATTCACACCATCACTCTGCTGGACTTCATGTCCACTAACAATGGCTGATGCTTAGTCTCAACGAAGGAATGTCTAGATGAGGTTGGCAGGGCATGTCTAAGGGGGTTTCCTTGGTTGCATTTATTGACATGGAAAGGTCTGCTGTGGGTGGAACCATTCCCTAGGCTGTGAGAGCAGAAAGCATGCATGCAATCATTGCTCTGTTCCTGCTTATGGACGTGGTACGACCCACTTCCTCAAGTCCTAACCGCTGTGACTTCCCTGCCATGATGGCTTAGAACCTGGAACTGTGACAGCAAGCACTCCCTCCTCTAAGTAGCTCTGACAATGCAATAATCACAGCAACTGGAAAGGAAGCGAATACAGTAATACCACTCAACTCCCAGCATGCAACTTGGCTAATTCTGACCGAAGGGTTACAGGTGAAATGAACAAGTTATGGCAGCAGAAAGTCCTATACATTCCAGTTCCTGACTACCACGTCAACCAGAGACAAACCAGCCTAAAGGCCATAGGGTTCTAAACAAGAATGGAAATCAGTTTTCATGCACTGAGTGTGGAAATGCAAGGGCTTTTCTCTTTCGTATTTTGTTGTTATTGAAGAAATTATATCATGCTTTAGCTTGTTATGGTTTCAAAACCCAGCCTAGGTAACTGTCTTAGTCATGGTTCTACTGCTGTGAAGAGACACCGTGACCACCACAGCAATTCTCTTAAAGGGAAGCATTGGATTAGGACTGGCTCGCAGCTTCCGATGTTCAGTCCATCATCTGCACGGCGGGAAGTGTGGTGGCAGAGAGGCAGGCAGACACCGTGCTGGGAAAGGAGCCAGGAGTCCTACATCTGGATCCACATGCAGCAGCAACACAGAACACGCAGCAGAAACACAGAGATGGTGTGCCTGGCTCGGGCATTTGAAATCTCTATCACTATACTTCCCTACTCCAACAAGGCCACATCTCCTAGTCCCTGGCAAGTAGTGCTACTTCGCTGATGATCAAGCACTCAAATTGATCAGAGTGAGTTCTTGCCTTCGGTGGCTATGGGATTTGATCTTACAAAAGCACACACTTCCCAGCAGAGTGCACAACACCGATACTCGTCGTGAAACAACTACACCATATTGTCTTTGTTTTCTAGTATTTTACAGATTCCAGCTTAGTAATATTTTAAAAGAAAATAAAAGTTGCAATGTCTTAAATACAGCTAGCATATTCTAAAAGTGAGCCGGCACACCATCATTTATATTTTCATGGGGTCATGGGAGTGCTTATGAATGAACACCATAGCCAAGGTTCCTATTACCTTCAGTGCTGTAGATAACTGTGCGTGAAACTTCTGTCCACACCAAAGAGAAGATTTTCAAGGATGAAATTCTAATTCTGCAAAATTGCATGTAGGTGAGCGGTTTTACTGAAGATGGGGCCAGGGTGAGACACCCGTGGCCGCCTTCTCCTGAACAATGTTGGTTTCATTGTCTGACATGAAGAACCAAACAGCCGCATAGAAGAACCAAACAGCCGCATAGAAGAACCAAACAGCAGAGGGAAGGATGTCGGGCTAACATGATGGATGGGAGGGCAACACTGACTTCAGAAAACAGGCAGAGTAAGTGCCCCACCCTGATGGGCCTCCCAGAAAGGCAAGGGTCGGCTCTGAGAGCTCAGCTGGAGAAATGTGGGGTAGGGGAGTTCACGCACCAATCACACAGGCATTGACATTTTTTTTTTTTTAAATAGCCTCTCCTCCCATGCCTATGTCTTCATTCATTTCAGCATTTATTTAGTATTTGTTAGATCCAGGAACCCTGAGCAAGACAGGGGAGGGGCCAGCTTGTGGGCTGGTGGGCTCCAATAGTGGAAGGAGAGGATGGTCCTGTGGGTGCTCCAAACAAGAGAGCTGCACATCACTAGCTGAGTGGGGGAAACGGGGAGAATCCAGAATGTTTCTTTTTCCTTTTTCCTCAGTGGCCAGCTGTCCGTTAGACAGAGAGGACAATTCTACAGTGGGAAGAAGAGCGAGGAACAGAAGGTCGGTTTACCTGGGAGTAAAAGGGTTCTATCTGCTTTAGAGACGTGGGGGGGGGGGCGTGTTAGTATGGATGTCTGGACTGCACAAAAGTCAGAATTAGAAATAGCTGGTGTAAGCATCAGTAAGGCATGGAGGCCAACCGGAAGAGGCTAACACAGTGAATGAGAGTAAAGCTGGGGAGGTCCAGGACAAACTATAAAGAGAGTCTACAGGAGAAGCCACAAGTGGAAAGCTCCCAAGTCAAGAGCAAGGAGCCTCAGGTGAAGAGGGCTCTGACGTAGTGGCTTGCCAGAATCTTGTATGTCTGCTTCCTGTTTTGAAACACACGGTAACTACAGAGTAAATAGTATATAGCATGCATTAGGAAAGCAGACTGGCATAGCCACACGCAACTAACATCATGGTTAAAACCAAGAACACTATTATTACTGAGCTTTCTAGGGGAGGAACGATGGGCCAAGCTGTGGAGAGCACTGGCTGCTCTTCTAGAGGATTTGGGATCAGTTACACACACCTGTAATTCCACTTCCTGATCACCCGATGCCCTCCCTCTGGCCTTCCCCTACACCAGACACATAAATAGTAGACATATATGCAGGCAAAACACAGAATAAAAGCATCCGGCGCTTTCCAACTGCACCTTGGGTGACACCTGAAATAGTCTCCTTCCAGAACAGATTACCTTAGGAACAGGTTAGACAGCAGAGCTAGAGAAAACTTTGGCTCTCCCTTCAGTTTGTCCTTAATTCTAGAACATGTACTGCACCCATCTGAAAGAGAGGTGGCTGCCGCATCTCAGCAAGGACCCTATTCCAATCCCACCCATTCCAGCGTGAACTTCTTCCTTCCCCCACCCCCTCGGGCTGGCTGTCTTGACCTCTGGGAACCAAGGAAGCAGAGGTGAAGGGAAACAAGACCCATCTTGTCACAATTAGGCAACGACTGGCCATCAGGCAACAGTCCGTAGACCTGATTCGCTTCAGCCATGGTTACCAGTTACACACGCTTGCAGCTATGTTTTCAGATACGCCGCCATAACTCTGAGTTGTGTGAGCTTTAATGGGAAGTTAGTGGCGGCCAGTGCGATGGCTCACCAGGTAAAGTA